TTTCGTTTTGTAATCAAAAATTTTCATTTTCCTCCTCCTCCTCTTTTCCCATAATTTTTTGATTAATTAATCGAATTTAATAATTAACAATTAATTGATTAATATATCATTTGAAAATTTTAAAATAAATAATAAATATTTCATCTTAAAACAAATCGATAATTCTTTTTTCCATAATTGTTTTGATTATTTAATCGAATTCAATAATTAACAATGTTTATTACAATGAAAAAGAAACTTAATTAATTAATAAGTATTTAATTTTGGGGGCGAAATTCATTGATTTTTAAAATTCGAATTACAAATCAAAAATTCTTTTTTCTCTTAATTTTTTTTTGATTGTTTAATAGAATTTAACAATTAACAATTAATTAATAAATATTTCATTTTAAAATTTGAATTATAAATCAAAAATTCTTTTTTTTTGATTATTTAACTGAATTTAATAATTAATATTGTTTATTATAATGAAAAAAGAAATTCAATTAATTAATAAATACTTCATTTTGGAAATTCATTCATTTTTAAAATTTGAATTATAAATAAGTTTAAAAAAATGAATAAATTTCATCACAAAAAAGTTTTAAAACAAAACAATCAATTAAGTAATTATATTAATAACATTAAATATTATCAAATACTTTCTTCTTTTCGTTTTCGTTTTGTAATCAAAGGATAAGTTAGGAGTTGAAAATTCGCCGTCATCCGTAGCTTGAATAACAATTATGTTTATTTTAAAAATTGTTCTTTGCTTCTTTAATTCTTTTTTAAAATTATCACATTAATATTTTATGATAATAATAATAATTAAGATAATTAAGCAAAGATAATTATGATTTAGAAAAGATAATTAGGATTTAAAAAATTAAGATAATTAAGATTTATCCGTAGCTTGAATAACAATTATATTTATTTTTAAAATTGTTCTTTGCTTCTTTAATTCTTCTTTAAAATTATCACATTAATATTTTATGATAATAATAATAAGATAATTAAGCAAAGATAATTATGATTTAAAAAAGATAACTAAGATTTAGAAAATTAAGATAATTAAGATTTGAAAAGTTAAAATAATTAAGATAATTATGATTTAAAAAATCTTTTAACTGATTAATTTAATAAATGAAAAAAATAATTTGAAATAAAAAGGGAAATAGTTTGCATCGATGAAAATGCGATTATTTTTATCGTTTTTTGAAGAGAGATTTAAAATTTTTAAAAGAAAGATTTAAATTCATTGTTAAAGTTTTATTAAGATAAGAGAAGTTAAGTTAGAAGATATTCGAAAAATTTGTTCTAACATTAAATCTTTTCCGTTGATTGATTGAATGCTTCTTTTTCAATTTCATTACAAATGAAAAGATTAAACTAAACTAAACAACTGTTTATGTTCTTTAAAAAATTAAAATGAGAAAGTTAAAAATTAAAAATTATTGAAAAATTCAATAAATGAAATATTTTCAACAATCATTTGATTTTCTTTTCATTCGCAAGTTTTTGCAATTATATCTTTTGTTTATTTTATATTATGCAATTTTACAAATACATTTTTGGTTTATTTTATATTTTATAATTTTACAAATATATTTTTGGATAATTTTATATTTCACAATTTTACAAATATATTTTTGGTTTATTTTATATTTTACAATTTTACAAATATACTTTTGGTTTATTTTATATTATACAATTTTACAAATACATTTTTGATTTATTTTATATTTTACAATTTTAAATTTCAATTTCAATTTATATGTTTCTAGCATTTGCAAATGTTTAATTTTAATTTTAAAACTATCTTATATACATTTAGTGAAATTTCTTGGGATATATTTTAATTTTTTTATCATTTTTGTTATCAGTGATAATGAATAAAATTGAGTGATAAAGTAAAATGATTTTTGATGTTAACTTTAAATTTTCTTCTTTCAATTTCTATTATTATTTATTGTTTGTTCGATGACGTCAAACAAAAGGAAAAATGATTTATAAATATTTCTATGAAATGTTGTAATTCAAATAAGCTTTTTCAGCTTTCTCCATTCATATTCTCTTATCAACTTAATTTAACTTATTATCTTATCAATTTGATTTAACTTATCTTATCTTTTTAATCATTTAGCAATTCTTATAAATTTAATTCTATTTCGCATAGATAAATTCATTTATTGTCATTTCTTTTTTCTCTCTCTCTCTCTCTCTTTCTCTCTTTTACCTTTTTTAAAATGAAACTTTATGAAAAAAGAAATAAATTAAAATGAAAAATTTTAATAATTTAATATTTTGTATGTTATGAAATTGGAAAAATTTTAAATTAAATTTTAAAAAAAGTGAAATAGACAGAATTTATCGATAATGAATACTATAAAATAAAAAAATTTAATATTGATTTTACTTTTATTACTAAAATTTTTGGAATTTTTCGTTGCTTTATTTTATTTCAATATTTTTTCCTTTTTTTTACAAATTAACTCTTTTTCTTTTTTTAATTATATTCTTCAGCTTTTTTTTTCAAAGTTAAATTTTTAAAATAATTTTAGAAAGAAAATATTTTTTTTAAGAAAAAGGAAAAAGTTTAACTTTATCATAGGAAGTGATAATATATGATTATAAAAATTCAACATTCAATATATTATAGAGAATTTTATCACCTTATCTGAATATCACTGTTATCACTGTCAATTATCACTGTTATCGTTTCATTTTTCTTTGCACAATAAAGAAAAGGCAAAAAAGGATATTGATAAATTTTTTCTTTTTTGATGATAGAGAGGAACGAAAGGAATGATTAATATATTATTTTGTAGTATTTATCAGATTAATATTTTATGATAACAATGATAAGAAAGAAAGGATTTTAAACTGATAAATTTGATAGAATAAAAAGAAATAGTTTTTGTAACGATGATAATATGAATGTTTCTTTAATTTGAAGAGAGAAATAAAATTTTGAAAAAAGAAAATTTAAATTTCTTGTTGAAGAGAAATAAAGAGATAAGATGGGATCATAGAAGAATGATAGGAATATGATGGCATTGAGGAAAATTAGGAAAAAACATTGTAACAAACAAACAAATCATCTAAATGCTTAAAAGATTGATGACAGTAGAGAGAGAGAGAGAGAGAGTATTGCGATAAAGGATAGAGCAGAAAGGGTTAGAAAAGATTGAGAAGATAATATTATCGGAAGGACGACAGCATCTTCTCCTCTCTCTCTCTCTCTCTCTGATAAGCAATAAACATTACAATCTCACTTCTTCAATTATTTTCAACATTTTTTGATAAATATCAAAATGTATGCTTTTTTTTCTTTTATCCATTTCCATATACGTTTTACGTGATACATTTACGTGTGTAGGCGTATTAATTAGATAATAACGTATCGATATAGTTTAGCGACAGGTTGATATTCAATTCGAAAGCTCTTCAAGTTTATTTATGATATGAGATGCAAAGATTTATTTATGATGGGTGGAAATTACTTGATCTTTCTATATCTGTAAATAAGAAATTACTTGAACTTTCTGTACCGGTAATCAATAACTACTGGGGGTTTTTTTTAACCCGTAATAATGAGGAATAAATGAAATACCTGTTCAGTATCTAGAAATGGAATTTTGGAGTTTTCTTTCTTTTTACGTGAAGGATTGATTTTCATCTAAAAGTACTGATATGAATGGAATGAGGTATAGAAATACTAATGTGTAGCGCGTATTTTAGTTATTGATGAAGAAGTTGACCACACTAATGTAATTACATTTTAAAATACTAATATATGTTGTGGATTTATTGGAGATTATCGATGATACTATGATCATATATAGTTATCATTTGGTATCAAACAATCCGAAAATCATGGTTAATTAAGGATATTTTGGAGAGACAAAGAGCAAGAGAGATAGATATTGGAAGACGAAAACGATATTGAGCAAATCTGTGAGTCTCTCCTATAATTCATGTGTGATTAATTTGAAGCCAGCTTTCATGGCAATAAGTTAGCTTTATTGAAATGTTTGTTTGCCCTATTCTATTCTGATGATGAGATTGATGTCATTCGACATTTTCCAACCTATTTATCTTTTTAATCAAAGAAATGCAAAAAACGATACATAAAAAAAGAAGAAGTTAAGAGAAAAGAAAAATAGAAGAAGGAAAAAGAGAGATAAAAAGTATTCATGGAAAAAATAATATAAAGAGAAAGAAAAATTAACGAAAAATATTCAGTGTCATTTGTCATCTTCTGGTACAATGACCTAAAATGATCTTCATATAATCGATTTATTTTTTGCAGCTGTTTCAACAGTAATATATTATTGTCGTATCATCGATGGAGGAAAAAGAAGAAAAGAGCGGAAGAGAAGACAATAACAGAAGATAAAATCATTTCTTTTTCATTTCATTTTAAAAGATTACAAATTTAAATGAAAAAGAGAAGGAAAGAATAAAATGATTATTTTTTGAATTAAAATGATAAAAAGAAAAGAAAAGAAAACAAAGAATGACTTATTCATAATTTTATTTGTTTTATCATTTAATTTATTTTAATTCGATGAATCATAATTATACATACATCACTATAAATATATCTGTCCTTTTTTTCTTTTCCTTCCTTCTTTCTCTTAAATTTTTCTAATTATGACGTATAGTTAGGAATTTGCTCGTAGCTTAAAGTTGTTTGATTGCTTATAGTTCATAATTTTGGATAAAAAATCGATAGAAAGCTAACGATATTAGTTATTATTAAACTACTTCATTATCTCTCTCTCTCTTTTCATTTCATTTAATTCATTCAGTATGTGAAATATATTGCTCCATTATATTTTCCAACCAACATTAAATTATTTTCATCAGCGCTTTATATTTGATTTTTAATCTTTAGAATTCGTTGAAATAATATTATGGAATTAATAGATTGATAAGATTATTTTTACATTACAGGATTTCAAGTAGGATTTTTGGATTTCCACGAAAATTTAGCTGTCAACAAGAATTGATTAATTATGTCGCATCGTCGTACATCAATGGATCAGCTAAAGCATCGAATTTTTCGGAGGTTTGTTTAGTTTTTTCGAAATAATTCAGGAATTTATAGAAGAAAATTGAAGTTTGTATATCAAAGAAAAAGGATTATCATAATATATGACCTTTTTTCTTCGTTATCTGATAATAAGACTGCTGAAATTGATAAGATAATCACTGGAATAATCTTGAAGGGAACATCCTGCCGTTACGAAATCAGCATAATCAGATTTTTTCTGATTTAGCAGTTTTTTCTTGTCGACTTAACACGAACGGTTTGATTTGGTTATCGTGAATTGTTTTTTGATAATCTCTCACTTGATTGAACTCAGTAATATTGAATGATTTTAAATGCTAGATAAAATGAGGTGAGATTGAAGTTGATGTAGCTTCATTAACAGTTACGACTAACTTATTTTAATACTTTGATGGGTGTATATTTTAGTTCTAAACAGTTTTTAGTTTCCGCATTTGAGTGACTAACATCGAATTAATAGCATTAACTATTATTAAATCATGTTTATAATTAGTAAGATTAAAAAAAAAGTTATTTTGTTAGATCAGTTAAGCTACCGATAACGGTCACTTTTAAGACGGAAGTTAGGATTTCAGAGTCGCATGCAGAATGACTTATTTACGCTTTAGTTTTTATTTTTAGTGTTCGAAATATATTAACATCATATGATGGCTTTAACGTCATATAACGGTTCCAATTAGCAGTAATACAATAAACCAGGGAAAAAATTTTTGCTAAAAGATAAAAGAAGAAAGGAAAAGAGACGAAACAAATTTCAGAGAGATTGGACTGAAAGGATTTTTTTCAAAGTTGTGCTTCAGGAAGAGCGCTAGTCTTACAAAAATTGAACTTGATGGCAGAAAGAATAATGAAGAGGTGGACGATAATGAGGCGAAAAATGCAGCATCAGGTTCGAAAACATGGACAAACTCAATGGGACGTTCGTTATTGCGAAGATTAAACGCTTTTCGGAGGGACACCAGTGATAATGAAAGGTATCGTCGCAAGTCAAGGAATAGATTTGTGTAATTCAAATAGAGAAAGTAGAAGTGTAGATGCGTGTGATAAAACAACGAATGGCAGGAAGCTGACATTTCTGTTGCAAACTTCCCTCAGAAGGTTTTAATGCTTAATATATGATTTCTATTCCAAGAATCAATTATCGTTTTTTTAGCTCACACTACTCTTTTTTTTTGTCTTCGAACCATTTGTTGAAAGCTCAGAACTAGTGGCTTTTTTGTCTGAATCTCATAAATGTTTCAAATGATGGATTATAATGCTGCTTTTGAGAATAACTTTGTCTTATACTTTACGTGCATTTAGTTTTTTCTAAATTTTCAATTTTGTTTGTTTATAAGCTTTAAACACTACGGTCAAACTTGAGATGCCAGTTACAATCAAAAATTGTGCCTCAGCTATTATCCTTTTGTTATTTAAATCATTTGTAAGATTAGTTTTTCAGTGTTCTGTATTGCGCATTTCATGTTTTAAGTGTTTTGTCAAGTCATTAATACTGAAAATGAAATGATTTCAGTTACATTAATTTGTATACTTGTTGATTTTCATTTGTTATCGTCACGATATTATATTATCAGCACCATATGATGCTAATTACTTAAACTTTATAATTCATTTTCAGTTCCGTTGTTTCGAAGTCAATACCGGAGCGGGTCAATGTTATCCAGCTTCGGAATTCTTCATCACACCGGAACACTCCTTCAAATACCGTAAGGTAATCGTTCTGTAATTTCAGTAGTTGTTTTCTTTTTTGTTAACATTGATTCTACTTCGATTGTGAATTTCGGAATATTTTACCATTCAGTAATTATTTGAAAAATCTAGTTTATAAGCCTAATACTAAACAAAAAACTAGTTTTCATGCCAAAACAAGAATCATTCATGTAATTTCTCTAACCATTTTTCTAGTAATACGTTTAATTTATTCCACCTTTTATATTTCAAATATGAAATTTGTTTTGATAATGTCTTTCGAACCTCGTTTTTCTTTCCATCTACACATAATTTGATGTTGCTATTACGCTATATTGCATTATGTAATATTATAAAGTCTAAGAATTTTAAATTTACTTATATTGATTGTTGGAAAAGGAAAGTAAAAATAGATTAATATGTTCAAAAAAATTTTTGTTAAGATTAGCTTTGTATTTTTTCATCTTTTCAACCATCTATGTATCATAAAGATCTTTCTGTTCTCACATTGACAAAAGTTCAGTTGGAGTTTCTGAAGTGGAATCTTACATGATATATTTCTTTTGTTTTTCCTTAGAAATGTTAAGTCAAATGAGATAGTTCCTCTATTTCTCATAAGCTTAGCTATAAATAATATTACGAAGGCGAAATAAATATTTACGAAATTGCAAATTTGATCAGTGTATGGGCAAGGAATAAAGAATGGTGAGAAAAAGAAATAGAGGAAGATTTACATAATAATTTAATTTACATCATTTACATAATTTTCATATATTTTTCCACTTTACTTGAGAAAAGGTAATCAGTGATGTAATGGGAAAGTTAAGTATGCCGTTGTGATATCGTAATTTGGTTTCGTAAGATTTTCTAGAGCTGAAGAAAAACTTTTCAAAATCCATTCAAAAAGAACCAAGAAATTTTAGGAAAAAATTAACTGTTCATAAACATACACGGAATAACTTAGTTTTTTGATTTTGCAGAATAGATTCCCATAAGAACGAAAGAAATAGGAATAGAAAAGGTGGTAGGTAGTAAAAGAGGAAATAACGAAGGGATTGTAATTTTTGTAATTGTAATTATGCTTATAGCGATTTTTGGAATGGATTAACATATCATATGAATTGTATGATTTTTCCACGTAACATTAATTTTAGGATAGAACAAAATGAGTGGTTTATTTGCGTTTATTCTTCTAATAATTGTATATTATTAATATTATTAATTTAGTTATTAATTTAGTTCGGAGTAACGTATTTCTTGTTATAAAATGTAGAAAAAATAAGATTTCACAACTCATAGAAACATTTCGCAGTAATACGCAAAAAAATAGTGAAATAAAATTTTTGAGAAATAAACTATTAATGTTGTTATTTTCTTTTTGAAAGCGACCCATCATCATTTGTTTATTTAGATCATTTGTTTATTTGGATTGCAACTGTATTAACTTTTGTTCTATGGAGTGTTTTAAAACTAAAAGTGGTTGCAAAAGGAAAGAGGTATGAAAGGAAAGCGTTTCCGTTTCACTCAATATCTTCTCATTCACCAGATAATTTCATTGAATATAAAAAAGAATTATTTTAAGGGAAATTGTAATTTCTGGACTAATTTCGTCTGCATTCTTTAAAGTGTTTTACCTTAGCCAAATTCAAACAATTACCTCGTTTCAAAAATTTAACTTTTTAAACTTTTGCTTATGACTTTTGAACTTATGAGTTTGCTAACAATATTGTGATTGTATCCAAATTAAATGGAATTTTTCGGTAGATATCGATTGTATTTACTGCCAGTGCACATTGTTTTCTGTTCTCTATTCATGCAATGAGAATGCATAATAATTACATGTTGCTATTATGTAGTTTATAAAAATAATTTAGCGATCATAAGTAATGATTTCTTGTATTTGTGATTTTTAATTTATATTGTTTACATATTGTATACATATTGTGTACATTTATTGTATACATGTTGTATACATCTATTGTATACATCTTATCTATTGTATACATATTGATTACATCTTAGCTATTCCATAACATTGAAAATATTTACATTTTGTTACTGTTCTGATTGTTATCAAGCGATGCAGAATAATGTTTATTGGTTTTAAGTTATCATATTTTTATCTAAATTTTATGACGTTATATCAATCGTTTGTTTATCATCCGATTGTGGCACCAATTAAGATGACTTAACTATAAACCAGAAATTTTTAATCAAATGATTATTGATTATCAGTCACATGATTTTCGAAAGTATTTTAAGAATTGATAGATTATGTTTGGTCACAAATGGCTGAATCACAAATTAATTCACAACCGTGAATCAGGAATTTCTGAATCATCAATCATATGATTTTCTAAATTTCTGGAAATATTTTAGAAATCTATAATGTTTTTTAAAACTTGCTCATAATTATATTTTGATAAGTTTGAATCCTTACGTGAATTGCATTTTGACGGATGATAGCTGTTAAGTTATTGAGGAGTTTTGTATATGAACATCTTTTACTGGGTCTCAAGAAAATTTAATTTCTTCATTCTCACTTCTCACGTCCCAATTTCCGGAATTGAATTAAATTTGCCATGTCCATCTGTATTGCTGTCCTTAGATTTGGAACTTTGTTATTCTACATTTGGTTATTTCGCAAATAGTTGCTCACCTAACTATCTAGTGAAGCGCTTCATAAGTGCTTTTTTTCATTAATCCGGATCAAAATATGATTTATATGTATTGCCTGCTTTATAACTAGTTTTTATAGTTATTACAGAACAATTAGTTTCTTATTTCAAATGAGGTTTTTTTCGGATAAATCTATCCGTTCTGCTCGTTATCATGTAAGTACAATACTATGCATTGAATTTCTGGAAAACAATCCCATTAGCTACCCGAAACTAAACATCTTAAGTAGCTGTTTACTGAAATTAAAGTAAATAACAAATCTTCAGGTTGCTGACATTGTTTTTAAACTATTTTCTTTAATTATAGTAGTTTCCTCAACAGTTTTAATTTATGATCGCTCAATGATTACTGTTTGCAGAACAGTACACATCGATCTACTTCTGCATGAATATATGAATTTTTTGCTGATAACTAAGTGTTTTCAGTTCGAAGCAACTCTTTATTCTTGTATCATTTATTTGTGTTATATATCTGTAGAAGTTAGAATATATAAAGTTGATATATTCACTAACAATGACTCATCATACAAACCATTTTTATATTTTAAAGTTAACTTCACTAGGATCGAATCTTTTGTTTATGATGATAACAGCACTGATAGTGCAACGTATCTTTTTGATAAGAATATGATTTGAATCAAGGAGAAAAGTAAAAATACGAAACATAAGAGGATAATCATTGTATGTGATTTTTATAAGTAAAAAATGGATGGATGTAGCATATAACAATTTTTCTTCTAATATTTATGATGGTGAATTGTTTTTTTAAATATCTTGCAATATTGTATGATTTACTGTTATCAGATTAAGAAATTTTTTGGTTAATCTACACATGAAAATAGCAAATTGGGATTTTAATTTTGGACATCTGCTAAAGAAACGATCTCAATAAGTTTTAAACTTGAAATTTTTTAAACCATATGAAATTGTTTTTTAGATTTAGTTCAACGCGTCGTGATACTAACAATTCATTGATGGTTGGTAATTCGCATCCCAATTCTAATACGCAAAGTAGTTCCGATTCGAAATTGAATTATGTTCACCTGATGCAGTTTAATGCATGTTATGAAGCAATGCCAACAAGCTCAAAAATGGTTGTTTTCGACACAAAGCTACGGCTCAAGAAAGCATTTAATGGACTTATTTATCAGAGTAGGTTTTAAATTAATGCTGACATGAAAATCCGAAATATTTCGCTCTAACAATTTAGCTTTTTTTTGCTTAAATTTATGAAATTTCTCATTACTATATAACAGAGCTTTCTCATTTTATTAGATTTATATGTTCTTCGAAAAATTATGTACGCCGGACTCTTTCAAGTCTGAATGATTGGAATCGGAATTTTTCTAAATTTTCTTTAATTTTTTGTTTGTGAGGTTTCCTTCGAGAAGGGAAAATTTTGCTCTTCAAAGTTTAAATTGCTTTTTCTTGTAATGTTGGAAAGAAATGAATATTTTTGTTTTGTACGACAGAAGTGTATCATCACCCCTAATGATAAATTAGTTAATATATAGCTTATTTCTGAAACATTCCCACTTTCCTTTAATTTAGATTGAAAATCCGTAAATTTACTTTTTACTGTGAATAAGTTGATGGAACAATATTATGCATAATTTATTTACAGACACACGGCACGTATTGCTATCTGATTCAGCTAAGAATAATGCAATTGTTGGCATATTATCTGTAACAGATTTCATTCGAGTCCTTTTATTACTACATAAGTTAGTTTTTTTTTTTGATTTGTGAGCTTTTATTAACTCTAACTGATCTTTAAAGTATCGCGACAAATAACGATGATTTTACAACTGTATCTTGCTGTATGAGGATAAAACTTTTGACTGTTGTTATTTGAAATTAGAACCATTAGATTTGCAGTGTTTCAGGGTTTAATTTTTGAAAGATAGAGCCGAGTAGAACCAATTCAATTATAGAAATTCAGTTAAGCTCGAGGATATACTTTTCCTTATGCTCTTGTTTTTTTTGTTCTCTTTCTTTTTAGGATGAAAAAAGAAAGGAAGGATAAACAAAAAGGAACTGCATGCGAAGATGAGAAGAGTTCTTCAACAAATAAGGCAGTTGTAGAAAGAAATACTAATGCAGAATTAAATGATGATCTAAAACATTTGGAAGTATCTGATGTGGAGAAGCAACAAATTAATGTTTCAAATCATGAATGCCAGGATGAAAAGGAAATAAAAGAGGAGGAAGATGATGTAAAAAGTACGCCGAACGAGGACATCGGAACTCTAACCATATCCGAATATCGAGGTTTTTATTTGATTTTTAGTTTCCTTTAAAACTAGTCTTTCCAGATGAAAATATAGTTTACATTCCTAGAGATGATGAGCCGTCACCAGGATCTAAGCAAGTAATATGGATATTTGACGATTTCGCAGTTATTTTGCTTTTTGTATTTGTTGTAAATGATGTAATTCTCATTTTTTCAGAAAAATTTTATTTTTTAGATTTGGTATGCCGTGAGGGAAAATTAATGGATCTTGTATCAATAACCGCTGAAGAAAGGTTGTACCTCTTTATCTATTATTACCAAGAGAATTTGTTTTTGTTATAGGCTTTTAAATTTAAAGATCGGATTCTCGGACAATTTCAAATTTTAGAGAAGATAGATATCTCGCATGAATTTTAGCATGAACTTAAGTTTCCCCGTCTTGAAGGTTTAAATGTGAGATATCTATTTTGTAGAACCTTCCTTAGGTAAAGTTCTCCTTCGAATAGTTTCAGAGCACTTCTATATTTCCCTGTCTTTCTTTATAATTTGTTGCTTCTAGTGCGCGTTATATTTGCGTTGCTTCATTGTTTGTTAATTTTAGTTTACTAAAAGCGGCTTTTTTACTCAGTAAACAACATATACATCGTTTACCAGTATTGGATCCGAATGATGGAAGTCCGTTGTTTATTTTGACCCATAAACGTATCCTCAAATTTTTATGGCTTTTCGTAAGTTTTTGCTTGCCACTCACTTTGTTATTTCTTAACATCTATACTTTCCTATACATTTTTATCTGGACATTTCGAGACTCAATATGACAGTTAAGTTGATTGTTGAAGGAAATTAAATTTAAGGCCGCTGATCTGGGTGAACTTTGTTTAGAAAACCAGATGAGCTGTAATTAGCCTGGAGTCCCTGAGAAATGTGTTGCGCATAATAGACAAATTGTTTTCATAATATCCACCCTATTTTGTTTGCAAAAAACGGCTCATGATCAGGCCAAAGTCATTGTTCGCTTCGTTTTTAATCATTTATTTTAAGGGTCAGTCGCTTTATGCACCTGATTATCATAATAAAACTTGTAAAGAACTCGGTGTTGGTACATATGATGGCATACGTGTGGTATGTATTTTAAATAGTTTTCAGATTTTATGGTGTTTTTTAAGATTAGTTGATTGCTAGGATTTTCTTTTTGTTTAACAAAGTGTATGAAAGAAAAGTTTCAATGGATAACTAACGTATGAAAAAGCTTGAAGATGTCGTTGTTGATAAAAAAAATCTTCTAAATAATAAAACGGCAAAAGAATTTGCTGGCACAGAAAGTATTTCTAACGTGTGAAAATAACATTTTCTGTTGAATGGCTGTCATAGCGAATGATGCCACAGAATGTACGAAATTCGTTTAATGAGGAGAAATGCTTGAAGATATTAGATTTAAAGCAGATATATTTGTAAGTCTCATAGCTTTTATCACATTTCAGGTCTATCCAGATACATCCTTAATTTTATGTCTTGATATACTGCTCAATAAGGGTGTCAGTGGCGTTCCAGTTGTGGAGCATAAGACATTCCGAGTTGTGGATATGTATTCACGATTTGATGCAATTGGTATAGCGTTGGAGGACAAAATTGATGAGCTTGATGTCACGGTACAAGAAGCACTAGCTTTCCGGAATACTTTCAGGGTCCAGTTCATTTCTTTATATACGGTTTATGTAAAAATAGATTAATAGTCTGTCCAGTTCATTTCTTTATATACGATTTATGTAAAAATAGGTTAATAGTCTCTATCAATAACAATAGTTTCGTTAGTTTCCTAGAAAAGTGAATTAGACCTATGTCCTCAGTCTATAATTCATGAATGCTGAAAGGATCATTCAAAAACATCTTTTGCTGTAATTCCAAGATCTTTGCCAATTTTGAAATTTTTACAGATTTTTTTCTAGCTTGAAAAAGATCGTGTCGTTTCGATATCAGTCAATGATTCATTGTGGACGGCGATCACGGTACTTGTTGAAAGGAATGTTCATCGACTTTGTGTTTTAAAAGATAGTGGCGCAATTGAGGTAATTTCTGAGTTTTGTATTTTGAGCATTTTATGTTACGTCTATTCGATAAAGTCTTGCAATAGTTCACGCTACAATCAAATTGTTTAGAATAGATTTGAAGGATGATAAAGCAATGCAAAGGATTTTAGTTTCATAGATCTTGATGTCATGAACAGTATCAAATATCTGTTATATCTGTCATATCTCGTAGACAGGGTTCCATTTCAATATTTCACTATGTGGAAAAACGTATTATCTTATATCTTTGGGGCTTATAAGCTCTCATTTTTCTGAAATTATTAATTAGTAGCTCATCTTCATTGCAGGGTTTGATTTCTTTATCTGATATAATGAATTTTTTGGTTGTTAACGTAGCTGCTGAATTGCCGGCAGAAAGTTTCCATTGTTATTCTCGTTTCAGTCAGCATTCGCAACACAGCTCGTATGTTTTTTATATTTAGTTTTTTGCGAACTATTTATGGTAAGCAAAGATTCTGATAATTTAATGTTTATATCAATCATTTAATCCTATCATGTCAGTATTAAAGATAAAAGAATGAATCTCCCTGGTAAGGGAGCGTACAGAATTATTTGGAATTTTAAATTGAAGTTTTAAAGAAGTGAAATGACTTCAGGCAGTTTTTTTAACTCGAAACAGTTGCAGAATTTGAATTAAAGAAAAGATTGTCTTTTCAGATTGGGCATACTTCCAGAAGGACTCGAATCGTTAGTTTTTTCCATAAAAATTGTGAAGAATTCGGTGAAAAAAGAACATTTCAGTACGAAATCAAAAGATCAAAAATCCTTGAATGCGCAACTGTTTCAAAAAATAGCAAATAAATATTGAGACATGCAAATAATCCATAAAGAAACAATGCTGGACTTATGGCGGAAAATCAAATTTTTTTGCTGGCACTCGTAACTGACAGTAATGCACAGTTTTCTTTCAGATCAAATGATCTTTCGGAGACGAAAATGGATGATGAAACTAAAGATTCACTGGAAGAACAACATGACGCTAGCGAACTTCATCGACAGATTGGCACAATTTCGATGACTTGATCGTTTGCGTCTTGCCTCTTTTAGTTGAATTGGAAACGTTTAAGTGATTAGAATTTTTCTGTAAAAACAATGTGCTCTACGCTTCTGTATATAGTTTACTTTTATATCTGATACTGGAATATTGGTAATACCAAAATGTTTTATTAAATAATATTGACTGATATCATTAAGCTAGTCTCATAAACGGCTACCATTATAAAATCATTATTTTCATGTTCTAACAATTTTGGTACATTTGAAACTTCCATATCCATTACTATGCATTAAGTTGCGCTGTTTGCTAAAGTGACGAGATTGTGTTTCCTAAATGAATATTCTTTTTAAACATATAATGAGCATCTCGTGGCAAAACCATTTTGTCTTTCACCAAAAACTATTTTATTATTCTGCTGTAGTGAACATAAGTATATTGTAATATGAGGATGAGTTGTGATTTACATCAATTTTCACTGATATTTCTAGATTTTTTTTGCATTGTATTTATAAGCCAAATTTTTAGCTAGTCAAATGTCTCCTTTTTCATTTCCTTTTCTTTTCTTTCTTCGGTTATTGCTTCATACTCTTACAGTACGAGATTGCTTCTTTGTTTTGTATTATAAAAAACAGGGTTTTTTGTTTTTTGCTTTCTTAGCTCAGAGATTTTTGACGGTGGTACACCTTGAATATGCTCATGTTCATTATGTTGGTTTTTTTGAAATGAATTGAGCAGGTATCCTATATTGAATGGGCAATTTGTTAGACATTTGAGCAGTTGTTAAATGGGCAGTTTCCTGATGTCCTGGATATACCATGTCGTGCTTTGCAAATGTTTAAGTGAACACATATATTATCTGTTCTATTTTTATTTTGAATTTAATCTGTAAGTTTATAATACACAGAGGACAGAAAGATAAATGAATCACTTTATTTCCAAGATGATAGTATTATAAGAAGTCTTTTCTAAATGGAAGATAAGCAATAGTAACAACGATAAGTGATAATTGTTATCATTGTTGTGTTTGGTGTAATTTGCTTACTGTATATGCTATTTTATCTGCATTATTCTTCCTATTATATTTCATTTATGTATAAGTAGTTTTTTTTCCTCAATATATTTGTGAGTTGGAATGTATAACTTCCAGAATTGAATATTTTTTTAAATTTTGAAATATATCGAAAGTGTATCATATTAATCATTTCCATCCAGCTGTATTCTTATTATTCACAATTAGATGTATTTTATTTATGTGCCAATCATGCTTATTTTATCATTATAAAAAGAAAGTAATATGGCAGTAAGTATTCGAAATCATCAATCAGATGAAAGAGTAAATTGAAAAGATGCGAATATAATTTAGGTGCCAATTTTGCAGCAGTACTCTACTAACCAGATTAAACATTAAGTAGAAGTATTCTTTACTTTCCCGACTGGAAGTATTTCTCGATGCAATATGCTTCAGTACTATGATTACACTTCAGAGAAATGTAGTGTAGTAAAAACTATTGTCTAATTTTTACTTATTGTCTAATTAAATTTCAATTATTAATCCTTCAAAGAATTTTAAAAATTTTTGTCGCAGCATTTTTGCATTTTGGAGATTTTCATAATTATCGGAATTTGATGTTTCCAAATTTCAATTCTCTAGTTTGCTTTTTTTCTGTGCGAAAAGATTGTGTAATTCATTTGCTACGAAGTATTTAAATTAATACGTCAAGGTATTGTGTGTCTTTTATGATATTACTAAGAAATGATCAACATTAGATTTCATTCGTTCCATGCAAAGTTTTGTTTTTGCTCATTCAAATATATCTATATCACTGGGATGAAGTAGTTCTAATTTCATCTGTTAGTGAATTAACAAATAAGATAAGAACCTCTAAGTGATTGCAAAATATTGGATGATTTAAAATTCGGTTATTCGGTGAAGTGTTATTCAATTTCACTACTACCAAATGATGAGTTTCAAATGAATAGACAAACTTCTTTCAAATCTTCAAATTGTTAATTTTTAATAAAAATTCAGTTTGGTTTTTTAAAGAGTATTTCAATTATATTTGAAACTTGAAATCTACAACTAATTGGTTTGATTTTTTAATTAATGCTAATAGAAGCGTTAGAATCTAATATAAATAAGTCGCAAAAGTTAGCTGATCGCAGAAAAGTGTGGGAATTTTTCGAATTTCATTAAATATTGATATTGTCGAGAAAGAGGAAATAAGGAGGAAATTTTTAAAAGTTATAAGAAATTTGTGGAATTTAAAATTATAGTGAATTTTTGTGATAAAATATTTTCATTGGAAATTTTCCTATGATCGATCACACTAATTCAATTCCACTAAAATTTGCATATATATATTTTCAAAAAATTCGATTAAAAGATTTTCTTTTTACGATACTTCCCTAGAGCAATTGTAGTAATAAAGTGCAGAAGAAGCTGCCAGCTGTAAAATTTTTTGATAAATAATGCTTAAATAAATTTCTTAATGTTTTGTCAATGTAATACTTAAAGTGTACATTCTTAAAAAGAATCAAAAGAAGAAAAGAAATGGGCGAAAATACTTTGATAAGTATACATATTGTATGTATTAGAGATGTGTTAAGAGATTTGAAAAAATATTGTATGTATTAGAGATATATTAAGAGATAAAAGGTATTACTTAGTTTTCTTATAATTTCATACTTTCTTCCTTTTCTCCTTTTAATATAAATATAAAAGCTGTCAGTAAGAAAAAAAAAATGAAGCATAATAATTAATAATTAATTTAAATAAAAAAATTTAATTATTAAATTGGATAATTATAAATGAATAATTTAATAATTAATTGGATCATTATAAGTGAATAATTTAATGGTTAAATTGAACAAATTATAAGAGAGTATTTTAATGATTAAGTTGAACAATTAATTATATATGGATATTTTAATAATTAAATTAAATAATTATAAGTGAATAATTTAATAAATAAAATTGAGTAATCATAGGTGAATAATTTAATTGAAAAATGATCAAATATTTTAACAAATAAACAATAGAATTTATTAACATTATCATACAATCATAAAATCAATAATTAAATTGAATAATTATAGGTAATTTAATTTGATGAAATGATTTATAAATCATTTTTCAAGTTTAGCTGTATGCAATGAATAATATTTTTGTTGATCAATTGAATACGATCAATAATATTTCTTCAAATTCAAATAAATATGTTAACTGGGTAACATTTTCTTTTCCAATCAAATGTAATATATAAAATTTTTTCCAATCAAATTAATCAATAGTATTTTTTCCCTGTATCATCAAATTGAATATACAATCAATTTCAAATCATCCATTTTATAAAATTATAAATTTTTGATTTTATTTATGCATTTACTATTATTTTCATTAAATTTATCTATTAAAATTTCTTATAGTTATTAATTTCATATTTATATAATTTTTAATTATATAATTTTAACAATTTTATATGATTCAATATGATGAAATGAATGAAATCTTTATTGTTTGTCTTTTTTTTTCTTGTTTACAAAATTTTGTTTACAAATTGAAATTTTATTATGTTTTGCTTCAATTAATATACTCTTAAATATGATTGCAATGAAAATATATTAGTTGATATAAAGATTTTCAAAATATATTTTTCCATTTTCATCTTTTATTTTCAAACAAGAAATGATAGATGGTATTATTATCATTGGATATTTGATATAAATGTGCTGATATTGTGAAGCTGACGTTAATTCTACTTTTTGGTTAATGAAATTTTAAAATTTAATATTTGAAATGATAGATGGTATTATTATTGGATATTTGTAATAAATGTGCTGATATTGTGAAGCTGATGTTAACTCTACTTTTTGGTTAATGAAATTTTAAAATTTACATATATGCACTTTCTTGCTCTATGTGAGTGAAATAATTGATGGAAAAATTTAAAGGATGTAACTTTCATTTTGAATCTTCATTCCTATTTTCTTTTAATTTCATCAAGTATATATGTATTCTTATTGAAATAACTATCACCTGTAATCAATCATATAGTTAACCTTTCATCATTAAATTAGCTATACAGGAATATGTATTCTTATTGAAATAACTATCATCTGTAATCAATCACATAGTTAACCTTTCATCATCAAATTAGCTATACAGGTATATGTATTCTTATTGAAATAACTATCATCTGTAATCAATCACATGATTAACCTTTCATCATCAAATTAGCTATACAGGTATATGTATTCTTATTGAAATAACTATCATCTGTAATCAATCACATGATTAACCTTTCATCATCAAATTAGCTATACAGGTATATACCTATACTCTTATTCTTATTCTTATTTATTATTTTTACTATTCTTATTATTCTTATGTATTCTTATTGTATTCTTATTGAAATAATTATCATCTGTATTCAATCACATAGTTAACCTTCCAATCCTTTTTCATTTATCTCTTTCTACTTAAAGAACAAAAAATTCTTAAATAACAAAATGAATGGATACTGAAGTTTTGTCTTAATTTCTTCTTAGCACAATGAAACGGATTATTCGTTTTAAAATTAATATCAATTATTTACCTGGAAATTCTTTAAGAAAGGTAAATAAAGGAAGAGGAAAGGAATGGTCAATTTAAATCCCTCTATAAATTCTAATGAAATTTACCAGTTGAATTTTAAGTAGAATGGCTTGACAGTTGACAAACTCGTTTTATCAATCGATACAATGTCACGTTTGGTAAAACATATACATGCACAAACACATACACACACATATTATATACATATAAATATGCACAGACCACAAACATACAGACACACACGCGTATGTATTCACGAAGTGAATGAATGAGACATATTCAAAGATACTTCTTGGTAACCTACCTTGTTTGTTGAGGAATAACCGATAATCAATGTAGGAAATGCTTGCATGTCTTGCAGCTGCACTGCACGTAATATTACACTGCAATGGCGTATCCATAAATCGGCATTTCTTTCATACCTTTTATTTT